CTGGCGAGGATGTGGAGAAAGGGGAACCCTCCTACACTGCTGGTGGGAATGTAAGCTAGTTCAACCATTGTGGAAAGCAATATGGAGGTTCCTCAGAAAAACTAAAATAGAAATACCATTTGATCTGGGAATCCCACTCCTTGGAATTTACCCAAAGAATACAATTTCTCAGATTCAAAAAGACATATGCACCCCTTTGTTTATCACAGCACTTTTTACAATAGCCAAGATATGGAAGTAACCTAAGTGTCCATCAGTAGATGAATGGATAAAGAAGATATGGTACATATACACAATGGAATACTATTCAGCCATAAGAAAGAAACAAATCCTACCATTTGCAACAACATGGATGGAGCTGGACGACATTATGCTCAGTGAAATAAGCCAGGTAGAGAAAGACAAATGCCAAATGATTTCCCTCATTTGTGGAGTATAACAATGAAGCAAAACTGAAGGAACAAAATAGCAGCAGACTAAAAGACTCCAAGAATGAACTAGTGGTTACCAAAGGGGAGGGGTGTGGGAAGGTCGATGGAGAGGGAGAAGGGGATTGAGGGGTATCATGTTTAGTACACATGGTGTGGGGGATCACCGGGAGAACAGTGTAGCACAGAGAAGGCACATAATGGATCTGTGGCATCTTACTACACTGAAAGACAGTGACTGCATTGGGGTATGGGTGGGGACTTGATAATATGGGTAAATGTAGTAATCATATTGTTTTTCATGTGAAACCTTCAGAAGAGTGTATATCAATCATACCTTAATAAATAAATAAATACCTCACTTTCAAAAAAAAAGAATGACTATATCCCCTTAACTGAAATTTTGCAGCTCTGATTGTTTTCCAGATTAATGATGTTCTTAATGTTTAGTTATGTAAACTGCTAAAGAGCTCAATTATCTTTTAAAAAGATAATATTATAATGGTTCAATTTCAATTCAATATATTCAAATACTTGTCAGTCATAAAACATGTAAATAGATAGAACTCTAATAAACTCATCAGTTAACAGCAATTCCATCATTATATCACTATAATCACCCATGACAACCCACCTTCCCACTCTGTCCTTAGGATCCATCAGCCTGTCATTCATAGCTCTGTGGATCTTCACCATGCCCCAAAGAAAAGCATTCTCTGATGACCTGAATGGCATTTCAGGTGGATGACCACATATAACAATTATAAACTTGTTTACAATAATTCCCTGTGTTTGCACTCCCATATAAATTTTCTTCCACTAACACACACATAAAATTCCTATGCATAGTACAGAAAAGGTGATCAAATAAATATTTTGCTTTTCTAAAGGTCAGTATAGGTGAATCCTGAAGGCAGGTGTGAATGAAGCAAAGGGTCAGATAGGCCTATATCCTGTAAGGCTGGTGATTATCACCCCTTCTAGAAATAGCAACATTTCTATGTGAAAATTTTCCAACTACATGATTTATCACCTCTTCCATGACCACGATGTTTGGCCGTAGTGAACCATGAGCTCTGATGGGCAAGGGTCAAGCAATTTAGGGGTGGCGTATGAGTAATGTGATGGGGCAGGGGTCAAGTGAGAGATAAGGGTTGGTAAATATTACTATATGCACTAAAAAGCAAACAGAATTTTTAAGCAAGGGAGTATTCTTATTAATTTAGAGCAATAAACATGGGAGGAGTAAGAGCCCAACTGGAGGGATCAGATTTCATTCAGTTTTTTTATTAACTGTTGTCCCAGAATTGTCAGATCTCCCAGAAGTCTATAATAAAGGCAGAGATTAGTTCTTGAGACAAAACCTTTGATTATTAAGAAGATTCATAAAATGAAGAATTCTTCAACAAATGCCTTTAAGTTAAAGGCTCCTTTGATAATTTGAAAACTGAGTCATCAAAAGAGAATTGAAGATGGAAACATCAAGACTAAGTTTTCACCTTGTTTCCTGGGCAGTTAGCTCATTCAAATAGAGGACATAGGGGAGAAAATACTGCCACTTCCTGAACTGGGCGTAGCCTATGGCTGGGAACAGCCCTAGAAATATTGAGAATTATATCAAGTTATTAGTTTTCCCTCTTTCAATTTTGCCCATCTCCAATCAGTCGCCTACCAGCCTCCAAATGTAAATTTCTAAGACACAATCTCATCTCAGTGTTCATGATGAATTTGAGCTGCCTTAGACTTGTTATGAGGCTGTCCATGATCTTCCCCTGCTGCCCTCCTCAGCCTTGTCCCCATCATTCCTCCACCCACACTTTCTGCTCCTGGATCACATTTACCTCAACAACCAAATATTCTGTAGCATTTTGTTCGCATGGGACTAACACTAACCACCTTCAAGACTTCTTCAAGTAATTTCTGGATCAACAGACAGATCCCACTCCTGAGCAAGTCCACTCATGCAAAGTTCTATACCTGGACGCGAGGCACCACCATGCTCAAGACCTAGACGAAGGGTGGCTGTTCTTCCTCTGCTCGGCCAGGCCTCACTTTCAATGACTTCAATGTGCTAATGCTCCAGTACAATTTTATGGTCAAAGGGTGGAGAATATTTCTACTCTTTTTGTGTAAATCCCCAAGAATGAGCAGAGGGGTTGGGAGAGGGGATTATTAAATTTTATGTTTTACCCCCAAGATTGCAGAGATTAAACAAAGTGGTTATTTCTTTTTTTGTATATGGTGACACTGTGCTCCCAAGACCCAGCCTTCAAAAGAGCCTTCAGCAAGACGGCAAGTTAGGAGGCAAACTCAGACGGCAGACACCGCACTGTACTCAGAGCGCTCTCTCTCTGGCCCCTGAACGTAAAGCTTGTTACTCTCCGAAGATCTTCAAGTGGGATTCCTTCTCACCAGAGGGTCAGTGTGTTCTTGGGACTCTCGTACCCCCTCCCTAAAGCCTGATGTCACTCTACTGGTTCTCCAGACATGCTGAGATGTGCCTGTCTGGATCCCACAAGTGGAAACATCATGATTTCTTTCACAGGAGGCTTCTCGATATCCCCAAAATAGAGTTCCATCAGGCATGTGTCTGCAGTTTTCCAGACACTTTCAGACACGCCTGGATCTGTGAGCAGACACGGCCCGTGCTCAAGCTGAGACCCAACTACACCTTAATTTATGGGTTGGTAGGAGAAAAAAGTATCTGTGGAAAAGAAGGTATTTGAGCCATATTTTAAAGGAAGAGGAGGATTTATGCAAACACTGCAGCAAATGATTCATGAAGAAGCATGACAGAGAAAACAGACCCATTTTAAAGGCCAAATATCAAAATAATCTGTTTTAATCAAATTTTGTTCCAGATTTCCAGTGAAGGACATACTGACATTCTATGAGATCATACCGAATCACAGTAATGACTCCATAAATATTGTTGACTGAATGAATGAATGAGTAAATTGTTTCTTTTCCTTTAAACCAATTAAATTTGGCTCTGAGTTCCTACTTGGTAGAGGCAAGCAGGATTCAATTTCAGTCACTTTTGAGGGGGTATTTCCTTCCTTTCCTAAAAATAATCAGCAAAGATTATAGGGTATCCACCAAATGAGGATGACTGCATGGTGTTCACATCCTTACAGTTATATCCATTCTGTACGAGATACTACTGGACAAGCAGTCCTCCACCATCTAGCAGGTGATGGTGCTCCAGGTGGGCTCAGAGATGCTCCCCCAGTAGTCCTCTCACTGGACACGGACCCAGCCACAGAGCCAGCGCCTGCTCCAGAAGGCTCCACGTCCCTCTCACAGACATCTCCCCAGATTTGGTGCTTTGTACACATAAGTCACGGATCTCAATCACTCATCCTAAATCCTAACTAACCCTGTCTCCATCAGAGGAAAGGAGATCCAGCCCTCCACTTCTGAATTAACCCTTTCTGTTTCTTGAACCCCAGCACCAGCTTCTCTCCACGAGTTTATAAGCCCAAAAAGAGTCATGATTATCTTTTTGCAGGTGCTTCACAATTTCTGTTTTCAACCCTGACGCATAAAACTATTAACAATCCCTTAGACAAAGAACCCAAACTCACAACACACAGGTTTGGCTCTTATGCTAAGGGAGGAGAAAATAGTTGTTGCTCTTTGATGTCTGGCTAGTAGCCAGAGCAAAGCCCAAAATAATGTTATGTAGTATTTTACCCCTGCCATCACACTAATTCCTATGATACTGTGGATAATAGTGTCTTAGAAAGAACTCTGAATCCAGAATCAGAAGACTCCACCATTCTGGACTCACTTGAGCTCATTGTGGCTCCATTTTGTCTTGTGTAGAAGTTGTCCCATTGACCCCTCAAAACCATCCTGGAGCTCAGATGAGAAAGGAATTTTATAAACACTGAGGGCCAGACAAAAAGTGCTTGCTAGTGTGGACCATGCCAAGAGTCAGCAGAAACCTGGATGAACTGGGCCTGCTCCCCTGTGACTCTGAAATGAAGTCCTCAGAGCTGCAGTGACCCACTGGCCTCAGAACAGGTGCCTCTTCTCCTCGTTGGTTAGTTCTGTTGTACTCCTGGAGGGAGAAAGGGGCCTAGTGGCAACCCACAAGAAATGCCAGGCAGAATTGCGATCCAGGGTCCATTGTAGGTCAGGAAAGCAGATCTATCACCTGCACAATGTTTGCTGTGGGGCTTGAGACCTGAAAGGGCTCTTTGTTCAGCCACCAGGTGAGTTGCAAGAGGAAGGTGCTTCTCCAGCCACTGCCACCAAACCTGCACAAAGCATTCATTCAGCCCTGTCCTGGCTGTGCCCTCTGGGGCTGCCTCTGACTTATTGGGTTGCCTGTATAGAGATCATTTCCCTGTCTGTGCCCCCCACCCCAACTGCTGACCCGGCTACTACACAATGCCACTCAGAGGGCACGGGTAGAATATTACATTCCATAGAGAAAAGGCAATGCTCAGGCTGAAAAGACCAGGCTGCGGTGGAGGACACTCCCCTTCCAGCACAGAGCTCGCTGTGTCCCTGCAGACAATGGGCCTCTGTGCAACCCCATCTCCTGATGCAAGGACTGCTTACGTGTTTTCATCTTTGGAAACTTCAAACTGCTTAGTCTCCAGGAACGGCTGTACAAGGAAGCATCTGTCTAAGAGGGAAGGGGAGAAGAAGAGGTGAGATGTGTTCCTTCAAAATGATCTCCTAGCCAGGTTTATTTATTCCTGTGGGCAGTGCTGATTTTTGTCAATTCATTCCTTCATGCATTCAGTCATATCTATAGGTCATCTGCTATGTACTAGGTACCTTGTAAAGCTCTCTTACTAGAGATGCCTAGCTCTAGAGGGAAAAATTAAGTCAGACTGCCCTGCCCTTGAGCAGAAGGTGTCCAAGTGTCTGAAAAAGCATTTCATGAGTTGATTTTGTGTTGGGCGCCCTATCTTCTACTCCATGCAGCACCTGATTCTGATCTTCATTCTCTCCTGCTTCCTGAATCCCTTTTGATATATCATCATGTGAGAATAAAAGTCAACATGTTGGGTTTCTCAGGCACCGTCTTACTGGTGGGAATGCAAAATGACATTGCAGAGGACAATTTGACAGAATATAACAAAACCACATATGTATTTACCCCTCCATCCAGCAATATCACTTCAAGAAATTTACCCACATATATGCCTCTAATAATTTATATTGATTTCAATATTTCAATTTCAATGTAAAGGAAATCATATCCAGGTGTTGATACCTTCAAAAGATGAACTTCAGCTAATGGATAGATGTCACTGGGAGAAGGATTTGGGTTCACTATAACATGTGAATATTTTTTTCCACAGATTTCTAAAGATGAAGAGAACTTCTTCAGATAACAGCTCTACAGTGCTCACATTTTATTCCTACAGAAACTGAGGCTTCAGGTGAAACCATATTTATATAAAAGGCTACTCAATGCAGCATCATTTTGATTTGCAAAAACATTGGAAACTACCTACATGTTCATGCCTAGGAGGCCGGTTGAATAAACCATAGCCTGGCCCACTAGAGCACCAGGCTGCTGTAAAAATGAACGAGGGTCACCATACACTGACATGGAGTGATTCCCAGAAACTACTGTTAAGTGAAAAAAAAAAGAGAATGTAAAACAGTGTATAAATACGCTACTTTGTGTAAGATAAAAGGAGAATAAGAAAACATACAAATCTCTGCCTGTCTTTACCACTAAAAGAGGCTAAACCAGAAAACAATTAAGTTGGTTTTCTACAAGAGTGAGGAAACAGCGAGCAGGCAAGGTTAGAAGTAACACTCCCTGGGTATAGCGTTTTACACAGTTTTGACTTTTGCATCCTGTAACAGTGATAAAAAATGCTATGAAGGGTATTACTGGGTCAGTTGACAAAGTTGGAATAAGGATAGTAGATCATATCAAAGTATTATACCAGTGTTTACTGAAGTGGATACCACATTGTGATTATGTAAGAGAATACCATTGTTCCTAGCAAACAGACACGGTAATATTTAGGGTAAAAGCTTACTCTCAAGTGTTTCAGAAAAAAATGTGTGTGTGTGTGTGTGTGTGTGTGTGTGTGTGTGTGTGTGTGTGTGTGTGTGTGTGTGTGTGTGTCTGACAGGGGAAGAGAGAGGAAATGATAAAGCAAATGGAGCAGAATGTTAATAGGAGAATCTGCATAAAGGGTGCATGGCTCCCCTTTAGGGCTATTCTTATTCTTGTGACTATTCTTTATATTGAAATTGAAAGAAATTTTTAAACACTGGGTTGGTTTTCCAGTGATTACATTTTAGAAGAGAAAGGCGAACCTGACTGCCTCAGACAAGGCGCTGCAGCAGCTGGCAGCACTCCTGAATGCTGTGGCCCCTTGGCCCACCCATGTGTTCTCCATCAAGTCATTCTCTTAGAATCCTGACAGCTGAGGATGCATCCCGGGTGTACACTCTTCATTGCACCAGGCAGAAGACAAAGGTAAAAGAAGTTAAAGAGTGTCCTTCATCAGGAGAGGAGGGCTTAGAACTTTAGTCACCTTAGGTCATTTGAACTGAGAATAGTTACCACATTATGCACTAGGATTATGCCAAAAACTTTATGCATACTGTCTTATTTAGTCCTCACACCAATGAAGAGAGGGGAACAATAATGCCTTTCAGAAGGAAGCTGAGATATGGGGGTTTAACCTGTGAGGCAGGGCCATCACTGGAATTCTGATGGTCTTGTCCCAAAAGCCTGTGCTGTTTAACCTATATGATGTAGTACTTGCCCCAAGGGAGAGAGATCAGGCCTACCTAGCAACTCTTAATCACTCTCCAGGTCTTGGTTCAGATGCTACATTCTCTACAAAGCCTTCCCTGAACCTCACAATGAGGCATTGATGCTGCTTTTCCCATTCTCCTATCTCACTTGGTATACACCACCCAAAAAACCTGATAATCTCGTGGTAATGATATTTTTGCATTTCCGTTTTACCATCTGGACCTTGACTCCTTGGAATAGCAACCATCTTTTCTTCTTTAGCATCCTAGCACCTATCACAGGGCCTAGTCCGTGATAGATACTCTTTAAATGCTACTGAAGTTGTATTCTGTTTTGTTGAGTACCTATGGAGCCTTTAAAACAGTTCTACAGTGCTCACATTTTATTCATACAGAAATTGAGGCTTCAACTTGAGCCTTGAGTCAACACCTGGATACGAATTCCTGCAAAAGCTAGTGTGACCTTAAACCTCACTAGGTGAAGAATCATATGTAGAAAGAGAAAATGGATGATCTAATAATTTACTACAGCAATCAGGCTGAACCCAGAGACATAACTGACTTCTATATCCACATGGAGGCAGATGCAGTCAAACTGGATGGAGCCTGAAAGTGGGACAAGAGTAGAGGACGTTCAAAGTCAGTGCTATGCAAGTGAAGACAAAAGGGACTGGGGTTAATGACAAATCATTAATGACAACTCAACTGGGCTGTTGTCAAACACCTCAGGGCACTCAACTTTTGTAGTTGAGCACCAAAAGATGAACTTCAGCTAATGGGTAGATGTCACTGAGAGAAAGATTGGGTTCACTATAACATGTGAATATTCTTTTCCAAAGATTTCTAAAGATGAAGAGAACTTCAGAAAACAGTGAATTCTGTCACTAGAAATAAGAATGCAGACAAGACTGAAGACCATATGTTAGGAATGTTTTAGAGGGCATCTGAGTACTAATAATGAAAAGAGTGAGCTCAATGAGTGCTTTCTGTATGCTCCAGTGTAAGGACTTAGCAGACCAACAGCAAAATGGGCAAAATGAATGACAAAATAGTAAGTTTTCCACAAAGCTGAATTAATTAGATTCTCTTTATTACAAAATTATTGCTTTTTGGTGTTGAAATTTTCCTTTTTTTAATGAAACGAGGATGATAGAAGATGGCCTTGACTTGGCAAAAAAAATAAAAGCAGTTTGACAAATCTGTGTTGGTTGCGAAAATGCCTTTTGAATTATAGTGACCTATGAAATTCAAAATTCTATCAGCTAATGGGCCAGACAACCTCTGAGGTTCCTTCCACCCCCAAGAGTGAATGGCTCTAACATCTCATAGACTCTGAACCCTGAATGTCACCAACCAGGTCCAGCAAAAATTCACTGGCTTCATTCAGCCTGGTTCAGGTACTAACTAGTCAAGTGACTTTGAGCAAGTTGTTTAGTGTCTTTGAACCTTGGGGTTTTTTTCATCAATAAAGCAAGGATAAAAATAATATCCTCCACTGCAGGATCACAGGCTTCAGAGCCCAAAGTCACACCGAGGGTGCTTGGTACATAACAGAAATAGCCACAGTGCTTTGCATTTCTTCCAACAAGAGTGGAATCTACTTCTCCATCCTTTTCTCCGAATTGGCCTTGTGTTCCTTTGGCCCAAAAGGCTAGAGAAGAAGCAATATTTTGAGTCTGGATCTCAAATGTCTACTCAAATTTGCTCTTGGACTTGGACTGCTCCCTGTCTGCTGCACGAACAAGCCCATGCTGGTCTGCTAGTTGGCAAGGCGTGGTCACTCTCACTGCTCCAGTCACCAACTGGCCAACAGCCAGAGAGGCCACTGGAGAGGACATCCAGGATGAGTCGGTCCTCCATCTGACCACAGATGCAAAAGCAAGCCCAGCTGATATCAGCCAAGGCTGACCCAGAGCATCAAAAATACCCTATTGATTCTTGGACTCATAAGAAGTTGTAAAAGTTATTTGAAGCCACTACATTTCAGGGTGGTTTGTTATTAAGCAAAAGCTAACTGATACATTTTTTCCCAGAATTAATAAGTAAACCTGAGCAAGTTATTTACAGAGCTTTAGCTTCAATATTCTTATCTGCAAAATAATGAACAATTCCTACCTCATAAGTTTGTTGTGAGACCAAAGTGATATAATGTAAGTCAATAAACATCGTATGCCATGTTAAATGGCACACAATGCCTGGTACATATTAGATACTCAATCAGTGGTAGTTGGAAGTATCAGAACTAGGAGCTGTATAATAATGATGGTTTACAGAGCACTATACTTCCCACCCTACGCTTCACATGGGTACCAGGCCCAAGAAGCTGCAGAGGTTATTTGCTTGAAGTACCATTCATCCTGTGACTGATCAGATGTCTTAAGCAAAGCTTACTCAGCTAGGGTTCAGTTGATTTTTATTTATATTCCTGACTCACTGTCTGAACTATTTAGTAATACAAGGTGGGTACTAGGGTAAGTCAAAATACAGAATTTTTGCCCACTGTTCAGAGAGTTGATGGTGTGACTATTCCCAGAGTCAAAAAACATTTTATGGTGAGGAGGGTGGGCATGGGCACAGCTAACTCAATTTGAAGGGTCTCTGGGCACCAGACATTCTCTCAAGAGCTTTACATATATTATTCACAACAATTTTGAGTCAAGATTTTTGTCCCATATACTGGTGAGGAAATTGGGTCCAAAGTTATTTAGTGATTCTACCAGGATCACATGGCCAGTGAGAGACAGATCCAGCATTGTGCCAGGTCAGTTGATTCTTTCTACAAAGACTTGCTGTCTGTCTTTAAGATCATCTGAGAAATCTCACAGGGGCCCCTCGTCACCCACATCCACTGCCTTTCTCATTGGCCAGGCCCACACTGTGCCTAGTGTCTC